ACCTGTCATTAATAGGGGAGTTTTCTCCATCATATTAAATACCCAGCTTCTGCTGAATTAAATGTGATTGAATGTCCACTTGGCACTGCAGGATAACTTGGGTTTTAAGAGCAAAAAGGACTCACTGTCTTGTTTTTAAGATGTTAACTTGTGTGTTGGATGAATGTAATCATAGCCTCATCCAAGGATACAGCTGTGCTTTGAATTTAAATCTTTACTCCACCCTGCATTTCTCAGTCTTATTTTCATTTCATTTGTAAATGAAAGAATGAAAGACTGTGCATCAATATTTTAATTCCATTGTGTTTCAGCAAGCAAAAGCTGTTGTTTTTGTAGTCATGCATTTCGAAATGGTATACTCTACAAACTTTACTCTTTTGGAAATAATGGAAAGCTGCTAATATGAGTCAACTTTGGTTAGTGATTAAATATATCAAGTTTCAATGGATGTAAATGTATGAATTTAATGGTTCCCAAAGAAAAGATTTTAGAAATACATTGGACTGGCCACCATCTTGGTGATCATCAACTCTTTTCGCTAATTAAATGGTTTATCTCTTTCAGTATAGCTGCGAAGTCTGAATGAGTTTGGCTCCCTTGTCTTTGACCAGAACCAGCTGGAATTGAAGATGAAAAAAACAATCCTTATGGTCTCTATAAGCTTCTTCCAGCCTTTGCCTCCTTAGAGAGGTACATGAGACTTCATATTTCAGTGCTTTATTGAAGCTTGTTTCAAAATTTTGACTGAGAAGAAGTGATGATCTCTGACTACATGAGAAACTGATGGTGCGTGTGGATGACAGTGGTCTGTCGTGCCAGGTCATTGCAGGCATTCAGCAAAGGGATTGAAGAGATGCTGGATAACCAGTAAGGGCTGAAAACTCTTCTCACCCCTGTAAATCTGCCAAAGTTCTTTTGGTCTAAACACCACAAAAGAAACCTTCTGAAAACATTGAGCACTTTTAAACATTACTCACATTTTAAACATTTGACATGAAGGCATATGGCTCGGTGTAGAAATAACTAGTGACATATCAAGTGAGAAGTAACAGAACAGAAAAGGATCAATGCAATCCTGAATGTATTATAAAGAGCTCAGTATATGCAACATGGAAAACCTGATTCTTTCTTTCCAAATCAGTTGTATATTGCTTTCTAGATTAAACTTGTAAGTGATCAAAGCTGTCTCTGCCTTATACTGGGGACAAAAGTCTTTTAAATTCCACATTATTTATTATTTGAGTTCTTATTTTCATACAAAAGGGGATTAGTTTTTAGACCACACAATAGGCTTTCTCTGACTTTGATCATGAGGAGCTGGAGGTGCTTTGGGAATAAATCTTATTTATTCATTTATTTTGCCTTTGTCGGCAGACTTAATCCTGTGAAATCGCAACCTGTTTGTTGAACATTTTCAAGACCAAACAAAATGCTTTTATACCAGGAACAAAATTAAACTTTGAAGGTAACTCAATCAGTTACCATGTTTGTTTGTAGGCTGTTCTGTTTGTGTCCCCTTAGGAAATGTGCCAACTGTTGTAAAGATTTTTACAAAACAGTTACTGCTTCCTAATTCATTAAATCCTTGCTTGTGCCATTGTGCTGATAAAAAAGTGTTTTCAAGTCTTTCTTCAGACACATTCATTACAGCTAAAGAAATAACCACATTCTCTTTATTGAAAAATAACTCCAAAGATCTTTAATGAATCAGTGTCTGCTCTGATTTAGAGTGTGCATGAAATGAAACTACAGTATTCTATTCTTTGTGCACCCCCATTAAATCCTCTGTCTAGCAAGGAAAGCATTTTTTATTCTGAGGGGGAAAATGCTCATCTATCATCATGTGTACAGTACATTGACGGGCCCTTTGCATGTTAAAGCAAGGTCTTGACTGCTTTGGGTTTCCGGACCCCTGTAAATGGTTCACAGGCATACTGCTGGCTAAACTCCACCCTGGGCTTGAACAGTCTAGATTCCTTAAAGCTCCCCCTTAACTGAAGAGGTGATATCATTTCTCATGGGCTGTGACGCTCCAGCGAGCGAGAGAACAGACGCACGTCCGCTCACGGTCACGGATTGAGTCCCATCACCCTGCTCTTCCTCCACCCCTCCGTGTGGCTCAAGGGCAGCAGCTCGCCCTCCGACGGCTGGGGCACACCGATGACGTGACTGAGACACGAGACCAAGTTTCCTGACGCAGCATGCACAGTCGAACAGCTGTGTGTGTGTGTGAGTCCTAGTTTCACTTTGTTCTTCACATAATTTTGAGTCCTTTCCAAACACTGACCCCTTTCTTCTGGAATCACTTTTATGTTGATCTTCAAGGTTGACTTTGTTTTTCTTTAATCTTTGTTTTTTTTTCTTTTTCCTGGCAAGCTACAGGCAGATGCCTCTTAAAAGTTTTGCCCTGAATCTCACACCAGAAATCCCTGACAGGCTTGGCATTTACACTAGCAGCAGACACCACACTCTCTCTCTCCGGTAGCCCAGAGTCTAATTTAATGGGTAATGAGGCAGAACTGAGTGAAAATAATAAATGCTCCTAATTTTAACTGTTGAGGAACTTCATATGTGGAAACAACGCGAATGGGTCTCTATTCCCTTTCAGTCTGTCACTGGCTTTCTGTCTCTCTATAAATACAGACCCAAGAGGGTTCTTAAACAAACACACACACACACACACAGGAATTTATTGTCAGGAATGCTGAAGTGTTTCCCTTTGTTCTTGGAAATGGTGACAGATCACCTGGCACGCCTGGCACGCTGACACTGCGCTCAAAGCGCTCTTTGTGCACTGCACTGATCTAACCTTCTGATGGGTGTTTTCCACTTGTAAACTCTGCCATTCTGGCAGGGAGCAAGCCCTTCGGCTCTTAATGCTGCAGCCCAGGGCTGAGCAGATTCCTTATTGTGTTTGGCAGGGGGATAAAACCAACTTATTTGTTCTGTTATTTAACGAAATGTAAAACCTTTTCTGTTTGTTGTTAGTTTCCCCCTCTGTCAGAAGCACGCTGCGCGTGGACAGATATGCAGCTTGCTGGTTTTGTAAGTCACAGATAAATTGCTGGACTGTAAAAATCAGGTTGTTTAAAACCTTTTCAACTTCGATGATTTTCACAGTGAGAATAAGTGGTGTGCCTTCTTGTCTTTTTCAATTTCTTCACTCAAGAAGTTGGTTGGTCTGCACCCCTGAACCTACTCCAGAAGGATGGAATGAACCCTGGATTACAGTCTGTCTAATACAGGGCCCATTTCTCTCACACACAATGTGTTGATTTGTGGATTTTGTCGTTTTTGCAGGTTCATTGCTCATGAACGTGTGGAATTCCCTATAAGGTGAAGACTGGTACTGTACCTGCCTTTGACATTTATTAGTTTGAAAAACATCCCTTTAGATTCCGGTTGAAAATTATCCAATACAGTCAAGCCCCTCTCTGCTGATTAAGGTATAAAGTGCAGAAGGAGCCACTCGCCAAACAGACAGATAAGACCTGTCAGCTGGTGTAGTTCCTATTAGTGCCACTCAACACTCCCAGTGGCCACACAGAGATAGTGGCTTTGAGAAATTCTAATACTCTGATGATAAAGGCATGTCTCCTTGTTTATCTGCAAGACTCTCCCTAATAATTTCAAATGTTCTGCGAAACAGACAAAACACATTTATTAGAGTAGACCCTCCTGTCCCAGTAGCAATCTGTTTTCAATCTCTTTGACGTAAGTGGCTATTTATCTCTCAGAAAGCAGGTGATGTTCTCTTGCCCAGATAGCCTGATAAATGACTCTTTGATGCATCTCCTCCTTGTTTCATAAGAAACCTCATGTTAGCTTCTGGGCAGCATCGCCATTTCTCATCCAGGTGTTCTTCAGGCTGCAAGAAGATGAGCTGTTAAAGTGTTTTTTCCGTGGAGATTAGAACAGAATGGCAGAGGTTAGGACATCAGGTCCCACAAGTTATCATCTCCGTTTGCAGTTCGTCTGCAGCCGCTGAACACAGGCAGCTTCCAGGAGAAATCCACTTCCCGTCTCCGAGAAAGCAGCGTCCCCTGGCAGAGCACTGCAGAGTCTTGACGTTGGGCCTGTGCAAAACAGGAAGCGAGTGTTTTTGTTTGCAGCTGACTGGCTGAGCGTTTTACAGTGAGCACCTCAACTGCCATCGGGGTCTCGCAGACCAACGGCCCTCGAGCACAGCTTCCACCCCCCACAGACTGACAGGTGTGGAACGCTCACATTCCTTCAGAGTAGCAGATGAAGTAATGCACAGTAAATGTAAGAGATGTCAGAGAGAAGACCCTTTTAGTGGTGTTATACACCTCAACACAATTTACCACCATGCTATTTCTATGTCCTGTGTGCTGTGCAGTTTCCAGATGCAGTAGCAGATGTAGCCACCTTGTGAACATCTCGCTGCCGATAAAAGGAAGGGCTCTTGTTTTCTTTGCATTATTGTATTGCTGCTATCATACTGGTGATTACCATGCATCATAAAACCTTGGTACAATTGCTTGGTACAGTACAATGGGCAACTCAGCACAACCGTGTCAGAGAGGAATCCACATCAGCTACTGCACTTCAGTAGATGCCTTGGAGTTACAACTGTTTATTTTAACACATTCCTTCTATTCCTCCCCAGGAATTTCCTCATATAATCCTTAAATTTGATTAATTATCTTCACCTGTTAAGCACTCTGATATTTCAAGTCCTGGTGGTAAATCACTGCTCCAGTCTAAACACCGGCCTTATTCTGTCAAGAGCGTCTCGACCTGATAAATAGGTTCGATTTCACGAAAGCCCCACCGCCCTCCCCCACCTACTCTTGGATACCTCGGCGCTCACAAGTACCGATGCTCGAATTCCTTCGGAACTCCGTGCACGTTTCGCCCACCTGGAATAGCCGATGTTTAAGGCAGCAAAGTCAAACTCGCTCGCTGCTGCAGTGCTGATGAAAATGGTGAGTTTGAGACTCTCCAGCTTTGGATGTCCTTACAGGAGCATGGCAGGACATGGTGTGGGAGGGTGCAACATCTCTTAAACTGCACAGGGCAGACCGGGCAGACCCTTCCGGACTGCGGTCTGGAGCTGCTGTGGCTGGTGATTGACTGATTGACTGGCACGGGAATGTAGACACGTTCCTGTGTGCTGCACCTACACCCAGCTGCTGCTCCTGTCCCAGGACACACCTCCAGCAGATGCACACTTGAGCTGGGCAGAGAACTGGTGAGTATCAAGGTTTTCAGCCATTGCCTACTGTTCGTTAGATTTGGGCTGTGTTGGTCTGGACTCGTTACGGACCTCGTCTCTGCGTTTCTGCTGCTGTCTGAGCCTGAACCTCCTACGCCATGGTAAATCAGAGTTACAGTCGTTCACAGTCCTGTGTTGTCGAGCCTTTACTCTCTTGCAGGCCCTTGGAGCTCTCTGGCAGGTCTAATAGCCATTTCACCAAGCACAGTGGCACCAGGGGAAGACTTGACATGGGTGATGTACTGGCAGGTGTGTAAAATGTCAATGTCTTTTTCTGTTCTCTTTAAACATTCAGTGTCTTAGCTGAAGTTGTAACCTCCTGGGGATCCGAATCATGCCTGCTCAGTCCTCTCTCATTTCCTTCAATGCTTCACCTGAGGATTCTGCGGTACTGCTCCAGAACATCCTCATAATATATATTTCCACAAAGGCAACAGGGAGGCTCCTCTTCTTTTAATACATAATCACATTGTTGTCTGTCGTCTCGCTGTTATTTATAATTCTCCTCCGAGAGAAATTGAGGCTGCAGTAAATTTCCAGGAATGACCTCCAGTTTCCTCTGTGAATTGTCCAACAGCGTTAAGCAGGCAATGAAGTGGAAGACACCAGGCTAAAATAAGGTCAAACACACAGCGTTTTTGCCTGTCTTGATTTTTTGTAACACTAAGAGATTTCATCTCAGTGGGAGGTGTGAGTCTGACAGCTGTTTTTTTTAGGTTTCAGGAATGATGACTGGTAATCCTGTTGTTTAAAAGGGAGGTTATTTAAGAAATCTTTCTTAATGAAGCCTGCTGTTCCCTGAGGCATGGAATGATGTTTTCTTGCCTTTGTTCCAGTAGATTAGGATTGAATAAAAGGTGGTTTTTCAGCCTGATGTTTTGTTCTATGGAGTTAATTGAACAAATTTCCAGTTTAAACTTTTTCAGGTGTATACCGATACAGGGCCCTGAATCCTTCGCACAAAGGAGTTTTTGAAAGCTTTCACATATTAAAGCTCAACTGCGTGTTCGAACAGCCTATCTATTCATTGCTGTGTATGCAGAATATCAAGTTACCGCACTGAAAGCTACCTCCCTGTAACTGATCTTTTGCCCTTCTGACGATCTTTTTTATGCTCTGGCTTGAACTTAAAACAAATCGAGACCTGCATTTCTGTCATCTGTCCTTTCAGTGCCCTTGAAGATGTGCGTACACTTGTGTGTATTTTGGTTTTCCCTTGAAATACCACAGACCTGCCGCTCCTAGATATGAGTGACTTAGAGGGTTTATTTGGCATCGTGTATCAAACCTTTTTACCAGAAGGCTGCAGTCATTGCTGTCTGCGTGTTTTGTGCTTGTGACTCAGATGTTAAAAGGTGATGCATTAACTCATTGCACCCCCCCCACCTCCATCCCTAAGACAACACAGAACTTTCATGCTCCTGCCAGCATTGCCTTCTCCCCAGGAGCCCTGGGCCAGATGTTCAGTTGCCAGTGTGTAATGTTTAGTAAGCCAGCAGTGTAGGAATCCTGGCAGAGTCTGGCTCAAGCTGGCATCTTGGCAAGTTCTGTGAAGACCATCCAGGCCGAGCTATCCACTGCTCAGTACCTCCTCAAAGCTCTTCTGTAGACAACAGAACTTCACCTGGGACCGAACAGAATCGGTTCGAAGAAGAGCTGGCCTAACTGAAAATGGGATTAAGTCAATATTTGCTACGGTTCCTTTGTATGAACAGATTATTAGAGCATTATTGATGCAACTGTGCTGATTGCTACACATAGAAACTTCACCTTTATATGAAATTCCCACTGATAGTGTGGCTATACAACTGCACATTTAGGGAAATGCTGGAACTATTCTGTAGTCTTCCTTTACACTTAAGCCCTACAGGGAACCCCTGACCCTTTATCTGTGCACATGCCGAATAATGAATATTACATGTAAAATATTTTCACATCATTGTTAAAAAAGAGTGCTGGTGTTGATTTATTTTAAGTATTTGCACCTGATGAGGCTTGACAAAAACACTCATGCATGTCCAAAATAGTGTTCTTCTGTTTTGATTTGGGGAGTGCAAAATACAAAATGTAATTATTTTTCAAATAACAAAAACAATCTGACAAAGAGCACAAGGTGCTGACAGACCTTGGTATCAGTTTCCCTGGTGTACATTCAACCAGATTGAAATGACCTACAGTTTATACTGAGAACATGAGAACAGGAATGGGTAAAAGAAAAGTTCACCTTAGAATTTATTACTGGCAACTTTAGCTCAGAGGAAGACTGTCTAAAAACCCCGTCATTTATAAAAGAGAGCCTGGCTGTGTTTGGTAAAATTATCAAGAACAGCTCCCATGTCTAGACTACATGTTTCATCAAGCAGTAGGCAGCCACACATTTGTTTAACAGGTTACACTTTTGAAAGGTAATTCCAAAAATACAGTTTGTTTTTTTTAGCGTACCAGCACTTTTTAATTATTTTAAGGATTGCATTAGACTTTAAAATGTTTGCCACTCTCATAAATATATCGCAGGGCTGCCTTCCAGATATGTATATATGTTTTTCACAGAAGGAATGCAGAGATTAGGAACCTGTTCACGTCCCTTTAAATATGACTTTATTATTAATTACTACATGAATATTATACAGGCATCTCAGTCACTTTAATTTGTCCTGGCTGTAGAAACTGCAGTAGATGTGGTGATAAAAGCCTGCGAGGACTTAAATATACTACATTTTATTTACTGTATAAAGGCTTTGGCATGAGATTCTGCAAGATTCCATATATATCTATGATATACTGTGGACAGTGTGGAAGGTTAGAAATGCTTGTTTTGTCTTAATCCAAGAATCCTGTCAAACAATGTCTGTGGAAGTTAGTGTCGCCTCTTTCCATAAAGGAAATGGATGGCTTGCCATCAGCACTGCATGGCTTAAGAACTTAAGAAAGGTTCCAAGTGAGAGGAGGCCTAATTGTCAATTACTTAATTATCTAGAGCTAATGCAGCTGCTGTATTTCCTGAAAGAAACCAGGTTATCAGCGTCAACCACACGATTTCCACAGCAGCAGACTTGGCTTCACCTGCTACAGGCACCAGTCTTGCTGTAATTTTATTTTTTTGTATTGTTAGGTAATAATATCAATAATTGGTATTTGATTGTTTAATTACAGGGCAATAAGGTGGAGAGGTGGTTAGCACTGCTGTCCCATGGTTCCCCTCTTTGATTTTTAGAGTGGGAATCCTTTCTGTGTGGAGTCTGAGCGTTCATGTGGAGTTTCTGTGGGGGCCTCATGAAGACGTGGTAAGTCTATTGGTGACCCTACATTTTCCCATGTTTATTTTTGCATGTGCATGCCTGCCCTGTCATGGACCCATACTGCAATATTTTTATTTTGGAGATGATTCTTCAGGACGCATTCTATGTCAGATGTTATACGCTACAGTATGTTGCTGTGCTCATCACCAGGAATAAGCAGCCTTTCAACAATGGAAAGATGGTTAGATGGACGTTAATCATATCTTGCTTTACACTTGTTAGTTACTTATTGTGTACTTGCATAGCAAATCTAATATGAAAAATATACATTTATTATTTATAGAACATTTATTTAGGGAGAATCTCATAACGCTTCACATTAAAGAAAAAGCTACCAGAGGAGTCAAGTACTTAACAAGAACTAAGAAGGAAAATGATAGGAAATCAGTTTATTGTACTGGAAGTTGATAGGCTTGCCAGTAGAGAAGAAGGGGTTTAAGATCTTTGAAAGGTCTCTGCTTGTCTGAGATGACAAGCAGGGAGGCTGTTCCACAAGTGAGGAGCAGAGACAGAGAAGCATGGCGAACGCTGTTTGGTTCTGGGGACCTGCAGCAGACTGAACTGACCTGGTCTGACAGAACAGGGTGAAGTTGGATAAGGAAGAAGGTCGGTGAGGTAGGATGGACCTTTGCCTTTTAGAGCCTTCAAGCCCGGGAGCAGTGCTTTAAAATCCACTCGCTGGTGAGATGGGGAGCTGAGGGGGCTGTGGTAGGACAGGGTGACATGCTCTGACTTTCTTGCCCTGGTGAGAACCCTGCCAGCACTGTTCTGGAGAAGCTGTAATTTAATTCATGGGCTTGAGTGCAGTCCAGTACTGCAAGTTATAGAAATTCCAACGGGGAGCTTCGTCAACATGCGTTGGCTACAAAGGAATAAGTAAGGGTTAATTTCACACTGAGAAGTAGAAAAAAGAAAAGCAACATTTCAGCTGCAGAGTCTTCCCACCTTTCCTCTTTCCAGTCCTCCCCGTGCGTATTGAGTATGTGCATGCCTGCTCTGTGATGGGCTCTGTTTGTTGGAAAGAATGAACCTCTGCTTGTTCCTTTCCTGTAAATTATACACATGGACGTTTTTCACTACTGGCTCTAAAGCAGTCTAGTTCAAAACCCAAAGCATCTGGTCCTGGAAACAAACTCCTTCCTCCCAAAAATAAAAGACAGAAAAGTAGAAAAGTTCCTCCTGGTTCTGTAGGATCACCATGACCAGCAGAGCTCAGCAGCTGCAGATTGAGAAGCAATAATCATCCGTCTGGAGCGCAGTGTGGTAAACCTGTCTGTCTAGACCGGACTCCTCCCTGCGTCTGGGGTTCCTGCAGCACGCTGAGAGCTCTGACGAGCTGCAGGAGCGAGGCGGTCAGGCGGTCAGGGGTCAGTGCAGCCATTGGCCTCTGGGCTTCTCACACAGACTCGTAAAGGTGGGAACAACCAGAAGAGACCAACAAAGCTGCCGCAAAACAAGAGGAACCAATTACCTTTACAAACCTGCTGCCACCACAGCCAGACACTTCATCTTGTATTTTGGAGAGCCAGATGACTATTCAGGATGTTTTCTTTGTTAGGTGATGACTGTGAAGTTACCTTTTTCATTTTTTAATTTCCCTCTTGGAAACGAATCCAGGGTCGATCTGTGCCAAACTGGTTTACCACTGAGCGTGTGTCTGTGTTTTATGAATATCAAAAACTGCAAATGAACTCGTTCTTCTGTCATTAAAAGTTTTTTTTATGGGGTCTTAACAACATGAACACTGTAACCATGACAACATGAATCAGAAGATTTAAGGCAGTCACATGATTGCCATGATCTTGAATGAAAGAAAATTCTGATGTTGTGCACTGCAAATTAACACAATTGATATTTTCAAATGAAGATAAAATGTCTTCTTAAAACCATTTAGGTTAATTTTTTGTCATAACTATTTCATTTAATTAAAAGAAACATTTAAAGGCAATATTAGTGATTGGATTAGGCAGATAAAATGTTATGAATGACTGAAATGTGATTTTTTAATAAAAGACAATTAACAAAAGATAGTTGGATGTCTCTTGTGTTTCACAAGATGCATCTAACTTCTTTATCACCATCATCTTCCTCTGCCGTATTTCTTCATCATGATGCTTAGGACATGGTCCATTCGGTTATCTCAGCCAGATCCGCCTGCTCTCTGCAGACAAGACCTGATCCTTGCTATTACAAAAAGGAACCTCTTTTGTGTTTGCCAGAGAAAGTGATCGCAAATGGCTACTGCATGGTCACAACATGTTGTTCATGCTTTACTGACAGAGGAGAAGGATGACAAATCTGCAAATTTGACTAATTTACTAACTATATCAGAATCTAGAATCATTCACATAAATTAAGAAGTGCAGTGGTCCGAGTACAGATCCCTGTGGTACTCCACTAATTACATCACCCCGATTTGAGCATTGACCCCTTTTCCATACCCACTGTTTTCTATTTAATAACCAATTCTAGGTCCAAACTATGAAAGAAGAAAAACGTGATCAGAATCATGTTCTGAAACTTTAAATACACCACATGCTCTGTGGGTGCTCATTATTGTTCAATAAGCAATAGTTCTATGAAGTCTAATAGGTTAGCTAGGAATTATCTACTTTTTTAATATCATTCTAATACTGTTCCCCGATATGTGATTTCCGTACTGGTGATCTGATTTAGTTCTAATAGTTTGCATAACCTGACAAGTAATAACAATCAGACTCACTGGTCTGTAGTTACCTGAGTTCACATGGATGGGCACTATGTTAGCAATTCTCTAGTCCCTGGGTACCACCCCAGTCTTGAGCTACAACATGCTATAGTTGTAACCATTCACTTTAAATTGCTGTCACTAGACAACAGTTAATGTCTCAGATGGGGGGGAATCAAATAGCTTTTTAATATTGGAGATATCATAATTCCCTTAGCAGCTACTGACACTCCATCCTTTTTAAAGTGCAGTAGGATATTTTAGCAATAACACTCTTTCATGTTGTTACATAGCACTCCAGCATCAGTGATGGCACTTGATATCTCTGTATACGCACAGATTATCTCTGTTATGCTGCAAATTAATAATAATTAATAATAAATTAAAAATGTGTAAGTGCACACCATAAAGTACTAATGGAAATCGAGAATGGACTGTACAACATACCCATGCTTTTACAAGTGTGCACAATGCAAGCTAACGAGCACATGGATTTCCCCCTGGAAAAACCTCATCAAACAAACAAACCTTTTCAAACACAACTGATGATCCCGCTGGGATAAACAAGAAGAGTGCCCCTTCGTTACACAAATCCCGAGTAACTCCCGGCAAGCCCGTGTGCATTTCCACAGGGCCGACCCTCGAGGCCACTGACAAAGCCGACGCAGAAACGCCAACAAGGGGACACCAGTGCAAACTGGGTGAAAGTGCGTTTAAAGACCGAGAACAGGAGGCACTACTTCCGAAAGGGGTGCTGGGAGTCCTAAACAAACTGCTGAAGCTACACTGGCTTCTTTCAGGAGGCGGCTGGATGAGAACCTGGGATCAATCAGAGCCTAACAAACAGATGGACTCGATGGGCCGAAATTTGTCCCTTTTTTTTCCCTAATAGAACAGCCAACCTAGCGGTTTCGCAAAGTCGGGTATCAGCTCAGAAGCAAAGCAAACGAAAAGAGAGAGGGTTCTGTAGGACGTTATCTTCAGATCAGCAGTGTGAAACAGAGCTGTTGTGTGGGTATGGGGATAAGGCTGCCCAATCCCAGGTTATTACCTACAACTCTGTTTGGAGGGAAAGATTCTAGACATCTGCGTGCAATAAAAGGTCAGTACAGATCGCCAAAGCTGTGTGCACTGGTATTAAAATAGCTTTGTCTGTCGACACCCAGGTCTAATATAGGCTGCGCAGTTTTTCACCCAGTCTTGTAATGAGATTATGTTTTATGACTTGAAACTGTAATGTCTGTGAATACTGATGCCCCATTTGTGGTTTTTATTGTGACTAATGCTGTCTGGCTGCACTGCCTTTCTACGAATTTCGTGCAAGTCAATGTTTCTTATCAACGGGCATACTGTTTGGGGTTGCACTAGATATTAACATGCTAAGCAATTCTGCTCTTTTCGTTATTTGACATGACTGTGTATGTCATATCTCTGTCCTGTGTAGTTTCTCCAGCCACAGATTTGGGATTAATCTAATTACTGGTGCATTTCTGCTGTTCAATGGTTGTGTCTCTGGAAAGATAACCAAACACATTGAATTTATTATTATACCACCTACTGAGTGTATGAGAAACCCAGCACTGTTCAAAGACAAAAATAAATCAGATCTCAGATCAATTAGTCTCATAACAAAAGAAAGTTTTTATTTTTTAAGTGTGCTGGACACAAAAAGTATTATTTTGAGCATCTTGGAAAATCAGACATTTCCAGCTGCCTGCAGCTTCTAGAAGGCAGAAGAGTGAACTCCAGCTGTATGCCAGATGTGTTTTGCTGCCTGAATTTGCCCACATTCTGTAGCCGAAATCCCTTCGGGAGCTCATTCAAACACTGTCTTTCAGTTACAGGTAATTTAAAACTCAAAGAGAACTCCAATTCTCTTCTTTGAAATCTCTGGGTGAATTCCTTCTCTCGGTGAAACAGCATATACATGTAATTGATTTCGTTTTATTTTACATAACGGAGCAGTTACAAAAAAAGGCACCTGTGTTGTACTTTGTTTCCTAGCAGCAAACAGCCTGGAAATCCAAACACCTGTTTTAAGTTACACAAGACTATCAACAGGACTGCCTTGTCTGTGGACTTATGGTAATTGGGAAAAGCTAAATGTGTAGACTGGCAAAGAGCCCCACTATTCACAAAGCATTCACAGTGTGAAACACTTTTTCAACTTAGCAGCTAACTGCTGATCCATCTGAAATATGTTAGGATATTTTATGAATAATCAGAAAATATTTTAAGCTTTTTTAGCTGTTTTTCACGGTAAATAACATTCGTATTGCAGCTGTGACTTCATGAATCGCAATTCAATCCCCAGTGTGCCTGCTGCAATCCTTTAGGTTTAAGACACACACAGTCTTATCAGTCCTTTCAGAAGGTCAGCTCTGGTGTTCCTGGCTCCCCTTTTGTTCTGCAGAGCACTGTGCTCAGGTGATCGGATGTGGCTGTGCTGCTTGAGAGCTGACAGCTCTGTCCGCAGACTTT